AGTTTCCTTCGTACCAAGGTACTACTCATACGCTAAGTACTCGAAGCCGGGATTTGAACCTGCAATCCTGCTGCTACGGCTAATAATTATGAACTAAACAGCGCTTTATCCAACCAATATATATATATATATATATATATATATATATATATATATATATATATATATATATATATATATATATATATATGTATATAAATTTCTTACTTCTAGGAATTAAATTTAGAAATAAAATTAAATAAAAAATAAATCAACAATGACTTATTTTTTATTTAATTTTGTTTCTAAATTTAATTCCTAGTAGTTAGAAATTAAATTTAGAAATCAACTAAGCGTTAAATAAATTTTAGAAAATAAGCAAGCATTAAAATTGAATGTTAACATTATATTACAAAAAAAAAAAAAAAATCCTAATTTACCTATTAATAAAAAAAAAATTCGAATTTAGATCGATGTATCGGTATCGGCCTCTACCAATCGACATAGTAGGCATCGGTAGCTAAAAGTAGGCATCGGTGCACCCCTAATATAGTTATATAGATTACAGCCTCATAAATTATATTAACTTAAATTTTGTAGTAAATTTTAATAATTTAAATATCAAATTTTAATTTAATAATAAATTTTAATAGTGCTATAAATGTTAATAGTACTATAATATATTGTGTTACAAATTTTAATTTAATCGAGTTTTTTACTGTTTGATTTTTAATGACGCTTTTTATCGTGACGACCAAAAATATTTATTTATAGCTAACTTTATAATGGCGTAAAACAACTTTTTTTCGTTTTAAACATATTGCTTCAAATTATATAACTTAAAATTCCTTTTTGTTTTTGTTATTATATATTTCATTTATTATTAAATATTAAAAAAACAAAAACAAAAAAAAACAACACCTTTAGATTGTTCATAAAAAATGTACAATAAAAATGATTAGATTATAAAAATTATTAGATAAATCTTTAGACCAAAGATAAGCTTTGAGATTTCTTACTATCCATAGTGAAATATTTCACTAGCTACTTTATTTTATATAAAGTAAGTAAGGCAACAGTATTAAGGTAGTTAACCCAAAAAAATTAAAAACTAAATAGAATACACATTATGTAATAGTAAATACTTTATTAAGTTTTAATGGGCAACACTTAAAAACTTAAATATTGAAATATTTTGCTTAATGTTGGTTTATTAAAAGATTTTATCTTCTTGTTTAACAATAAGCTAATGTTATGTAATGTGGAATGTATTCAGTCTTTGTAAATGCGGCCTTCCAAAATTAAAATAAAATGTCTTTAATTATAAATTTCGTTAAGTAACAAATTAAAACAATTACTATAGAGGTTTTTTCTAAATAAGATTAGTATAATTACTTATAAGAATATAATCAGAATAATTTTTTTATTGCTTCTGCAGTTGTTCAAGAATTTTAATTATTTGGAATTTAGCTGGCACAAATACTAGTACGTTAATGTTTATATTTACTTATGTTATTACAGTCGAATAAAATTTAATATTGGTATACAATTACAAAAGTACAATTTTTTTTAAGAAAGTTGAACTCTCCGTTAAGCCAATAGAATGCTTAATTTTCAATTTAAATAATTTTCAGTTAAGCTATTGTTTATTAGATGTTTCTTAGTTTAGGACAGTTATGTGAAGGTCAGGGCTGACCCTGAGGAGTGTAGGGGAAAAAAACCTCTTTACAAAAATCCTATTAAAAAATTGATTGGCAAATTTTGATCTTTCAGTCAGTAAGATTTGACCTTGAGTTGCCTCAGGCAACTGAGGGCCAAATCTTGTCAAAGTAATTAGTCAACAAAAAACAGATACGTTTTTTGTCGACTAACAACCTTTAGAAATTTTTTGGGACGGCTCTGATGACTGTACATCTATGTAGTTTTTTTTTTTTTTTATTAATGGATTGGGATAAAATAAAGATGTTTGGTTTTTCTGCGTTAAATTATAATTTATTAAAGCTAGTTTCAAATATTTAATTTGATCAAAATTCACATTTTTGAAGATCTTCAAAAATGTGAATTTTGAAATTTTATATAAAAATTCAAAAACTCTAGTTTTTGAATTTTTACTGAAAAGTAAAATATGTTAATATAAACATTTTAAGGTTTGTTTTGTTTATCAACGTCCGTAAGCAGCGTACAACGTCTGTAAACAATAACAGAATTCTGTTTACGGACGTTGTACGTACAAGATTATAAAAAACAGATTTTTCAACAATTTTTTCTCAAAATTCAATCTAAAAGACAATTTTTTCTCAAAATTCAATCTAAAAGACAAAGGAGTATAAATATAACTTTACATAATAGTTTTAATTTTTCAAACATATTATTATAAGTTAACAAGCATCAAAGAAATGAGCGTTTTAGCTTCTAATGTACTTATTTCAATAATTGAAATCTGAAAATGTCTTTTTGCAGTGTGGTTATATAACGTTGTTTTTCAGTACGGTTATTACATAACGTCTTCTTGCGTGCGGTGTGGTTATATAATGTTTTTGTACAGTATGGTCATAAGGTTTTTATACCGATCATATTCTATAACTTTTATGATTTGTATGTTTTTAATTATTTATTTTACTATATTGCAGATGTTAAGAGTTAAAAAAATTGTTCTTTGGGTTTACGGCAATGCTATTGTTACATTTTGCTGCTATGCAATCGCTTACTTTATTATAGCTTGTATAAGTTTCTATTTAGTTGATTTCTATGCCGTCCATTTTTAAGTAATTATTTTCTACCTAATTGATTTTTTTGTAATTGATTTAGATGTTCTCGTTTTCTATGTTTAGATTTTTATATAGTCAATTTCGATGAAATCGAATTCAATGTTGTTAATTTCTTTGTAATCGATTTTTATGTAGTCAATTTTTATGTAATCGATTTCAATGTTGTTAATTTCTGTGTAGTCAATTTCTATTTAGTCAATTTAGACGTAGCCAATTTCAATGATGTTAATTTCTATGAGGTCGATTTCTATGTAATCGATATCAATGTACCTGATTCAGATTCATACTTGTAGAACGCCTTATAAATCTTATTCTACCAGTGGTAGATGATTATAATATAAAATTAATCAAAGAAAGGTTATTGCGCTTAGTGTTTACCCATTTAGTTTTTTTCTTCAGAAACTTATCTTAATTAAAAAAAAAAAAAAAATTCCGCTTGATTTTAAATTTAGAAATGTTCATAAATGTTTAAACAAAAAAAATGTTTTTCTATTCAAATAATAACTTAAAGAATTCTATGCGTTCCAATCTGTTCTTTGTCTGAGTTGCAGAAACCAGATTGTGTGCTGAATATGTCATAGAAATTGGTGTAAATGTAGGATCATTAATTTTTGAAACATCTTACAAATGTTGCTTTTAAAAATCACCAAAATTAATAAGAATCAATATTGTCAAAATTTAGTATATTTTTAATAAAAAATTTCATAGTAACCAACAATAAAAATAAATAAAAATTAAAATAGTTTTCAACAAATAAAAAACACCAATCTTTGTTTTATTTATAGTATTTTATTGTTTTTATAGCAAATTGACTCAATGGTTTTAGTAGAATTTACTTTTATTCTTGATTATATAGGAGTTTGTGTAGTAACTTTCCTAAAAATATGATTAATATCACCAGTTAGTATTAGCTACATAAAGTATGAGCAACGCGTTGTGCGACATATGGATTGGTTAATACACTAACATCAAAAATAGAAACACCAGAAACAGTTTTTTCAAGAAACTAATTCTGTGATTCTACAAGAATACAAAAAATGCATTTTATGAAAACTGATAATTAAAATTTGTTTTTATATTTATTTCAATTTTTTTAATAATTAGAATAGCATAATAAGCTTTTAATAAAGCTAAAATTTATTTTTTCCTATAAAAATTGTTGTAAAAATAGTAACTTTCTCTCTTTTTTTTAAGTTAAAAATATTTCAATAGTGATTCCTAATAATGAATGAACAATAAATCATTCAATAAGCATTTTAAATGAAGTATTATTTTTAAAATACTTCAAACCATAGTCGCAAACATCCAATCACAAACATCCAATCACACATAACCAATCATAAGCATCCAATCACAAAGATACTACCACAAAGATCCTATCACAAACATCCAATCGCAAACATCTAATCACAAATGAGCATCCTCTTGAACTAATAAACTATTGGTATCACCTGATCATTTATATAATTATTTCGCTAACAATTTTGGCTTTAATTTGAACTTAATACCGTTTAATTTCGTTACTAAAGTTTAAACTATTAAAGTGTTTAAACTACTAGACTTAGTGACAACTATCTGTATCTCATTTCGGCCGATAACGATTATAAAAACTATTAAAACTATTAAAACTATTAAACTATTAAAGTGTTTAAACTACTAGACTTAGTGACAACTATCTGTATCTCATTTCGGCCGATAACGATTATAAAAACCAAACCATATGAGGGTTGTTATGCATCAAGTTGTTCTTGCAATAGTCAAAAGAATAAGTCCTTTCAGTAAATCTTAAATTTTACTGTGACTTGTTTTTGAAAAGTGGTATTATATTCGAACAGGTAGTTAAATTCAGTAAATCACATTTTCAACTTTTGATCAATAATAAAGTTTTGGTGTTTTTAAACCATTAGGTATTTTTTTTGAACCATTAGGTATTTTTTTTGAACCATTAGGTATTTTTTTTGAACCATTAGGTATTTTTTTTGAGCCATTAGGTATTTATTTTGAACCATTAGATATTTTTTTTGAACTATTAGGTGTTTTTGAACCAGGTTAGCATTTCATTGAATAGTTTATCATTAGGCTCTATCGTTATCATTATGTTTTTCTTTAATTTAGCTTTTACTAAATAATTTTTAAATTATTAAAATGTGAAAAAAATAATTAATTATAAATAATCTAGTGTCGACACAATTGACTCTACAATCTGTGTTGACCTAAAAAAGTTATGTTAGCCCTTAAATGTTTGTACTTTTTTAATGGATATGTTTGTAGTATAAATAACAAATAATCCAATTTTTTTTTTTATTACGGTATTTATTATTCTGAATATTATAGTTATCAATGGCGTCAGTTATTATACTTTTATCATTTTTATGTGGTTTTTCTGTCGTACTGAATGCTACCGTTGTCTTAGCAATATTTTTAAAAAGAAAATCCAAGGGAATGAGAGATATAATTTTGATGAGCCTTGCTATATGTGACGGTGTACAATGCACTTTAGGTTTTCCAGTTGAGCTTTATGGCTTCTCTAACTTAAACAGTCCTTTGCAAAATGAATATTTGTGTAAAGCAAACGGTTTTATTGTAATGTACCTTGCTTTGACTGCAATCTCCCATTTGGTTTGTTTGTGTGTATACCGTTTTTTATCAATTGTATACCCACTAAAAATACAGAAATTCTTTTTAGATTCTAGAAGGGAGGCATTACTTTTTATTCTATTTTGTTGGATTTATGGATTTTTTTGGTCAGTAACTCCTTTATTGGGCTGGAATGAGATAATACGAGAAAAAGAAGACACACATCGGTGCTCGATTAATCTGAACCCTGAAGACAATAATAAACGTAGCTATTTGTATTCATTAATGGTGTTCTGTTACTTTATACCTTTGGTAATTATTATATTCTGCAGTTTGAGGGTACATTTTGAGCTTTCCAAAATGCTCAAATTGTGCAAACATATTTCAGGTAGAGAGGCAAGTATTACCAAAGAAACTTATAAATTGGAAAGACAAGATTTTATTTCTATTAGTCTCATTGTTTCATCGTTTTTTATTGTTTGGACTCCGTATACTATATGCGTAATTTTTTCTTCTCTTAGAAGTAGTTTACCAACAGGTCTATTAACATACTCTGCTTTGTTTGCGAAATCATCAACAATTCTAAACCCCGTAATATATTGTCTAATGTATAAAGAGTACCGTGAAACATTGCAAAGCGAATATCGGAAGATCTTCAAAAGTTCGGTTGTTGCACCTTTTACGGAAAGAAGTCAAACAGCTGCGCTATCTACCTTAAGTAGTCATGGAGATGCGTCATTTACTTAAAGGTATCGGAAAAGCAGAATTCAAAATTCCTATTATTTGATTAATTTCTAAAGTAAAAGTATTTTATTGCTTTTCTTTAATTCCAGGTAATAAATGTTTGAAAAATTAAAAAAATTGCAATTTAGATATTTGGATAAACATTTATAAATGAATAGTGAACATGATTATTTAAAGGCTTTGGTCAACAAAAACTTGGTTTCACCGCGGGTTTGATCAGCAAAGACATTTTAGAGCATAGAAATAACAGTAACAGTAAATACTGGACAACAGGATAAAGATTTGATATACGCAATAAAAAATTTTACATTTGCTGATTAATAAAAAAAGTTTTATTGTTAATTTTCTTAGCAGATAGTACTTCAGTTAGTAATCTATTTCATTTTTTTTGAAAAAAATGACGTAGTGTTATTTTTGATACATTGTGTATATTTTAATGAGTGCCCTCATAAACGATTTCTTGTGAAGTTTTTTATATCAAAATCTTATATCCACGCTTTTTGTTTGTTTTTTAACTCAATCAGATTGCACTTTGATTTTGTTTCTTGTGTTGTTTCGCTTAATTTCAAGTAACTCTTCTTTATAAAATTAATTTTTTAGTTCATCTACAAATTTTTGTTGCTCAATATTTAATTTTTTGTGAATATTTATTTGTACAGAGATTTTTTGCTAAAACTGCAAAAAATTGCTATAAATCTTTTCATCAGTGGCGTATAGGGCGTGCTATAAATCTTTTCATGTTACTCAAGTCGCCTTGCATGCAGATTTAAAAAAAAATAAACAAATATACACGTAATAGTTAAAAAAAAACAAAAACGCGGAGACTCCCAAAAGACCATCAGTTAGGCAAATTAAGAGCCGCTTTTAAAATTAAATCTCATATAACATATAAACAAACTTAAAACAGATGATGGCTTCTTTCATAATGGACACAAATCTCTATTTTGTTGTTTTTAATATAAAGTCTAGGTTCCAAAATTTTTAAAAACTTTTTTTAAATATAACTGTGAGTTTTATTTTTAGAGTGCGTAACACCTAATTTACCAATATTATTAACTATATTTTTTATAAGTTTTTTAGCTATAATTTTTACCATCGATTAATAAATTTATTTTTTTGCGCTATAATTTTTTTATAATTCAGAGTTTATATTATTATAGATTCCACATCAGTATTGTAGAAATGTAGAATACATTTCAAATTACTCGTATATATATATATATATATATATATATATATATATATATATATATATATATATATATATATATATATATATATATATATATATATATATATATATATATATATATATATATATATATATATATATATATATTGCACCAACCCCTTCATGATACAAAAATAATACGACATTATCTTGAAAAGTTGTGCACGCAGAAAACACTAACGATTAGCTGCCTAAGGTAAAAAGTCTCTTGAACTGGTATGCAAGGAAGTAGTAAATTTGCATATAATCTAAACAAATCCTATTTCATCTTGAAATTTTTGTGCAACTTCTGTTTTGTTTTTTTCCTGGAAAACATTTTGGCTCTGCAAATATGAACCAATTTCTCAACAGCTGCAGCAGTCTTAACATATCATTTAAATATTTACTTTTAATTTTTACCTGTAATTCATACATGTGCAACATGTGTCAACTTGAGGTAATCTAAACCTCAACAAAAATTGCTGCTTAAATATTTTCAAATAAAGTTGGCAATTTACATCGACTCCAGGATGTTTTGTTGAAACGCCTTGTGTATGTTATATACAGAAAGTTTTTCATTGAGAAAATGTTTTTCAATACATTACTATAATGAGTTATTTTTGTTGGATAAGAGGTTATGTGCTCTTTTACCATGTTAATGACTTTCAAGTTTAGCATTTCCTGAATTACTTCGATAACGAAGAAATTCATACACAAGCAAACAAAGTTAACTTTTTATATATTTTATCAAAAGGATCAGCCGTTAGGGTGAGCCTAATAATAAAATTTTTTAAAATAAAAATATTACGTGTCTGTTAAATAAGTAACGGTAAAAAGCTCTTAGCGAATATTGTATTATATAAGTATTTTACGTTCATCCAGTTTTAAATTATCATTGCTTTATCTCAAATACATTAACAAAATATGTAGGTGTTAGTGAAAATTGACGCAATAAATACATCCAAAAAAAGTTACATTTTAAGTTACTTGCAATCTCCTCCAGGTTTTCTTTCAGGTGAATCCTTCCAAGCGAAGTTTGAGTAGGGGCTTCCGTTAACGCTTTTTTTGTTATTTCACTTTTGTAGATAGACATGTGTTTACTAATGCTATATATATATATATATATATATATATTTTGGTATATGGATGTTGTCATAAGATTCCATTATTAAATCAGTTAAAATCTGAAAAGCTCATAAATCAGTCAGTGTAAACTAGTAAAGCGCAAGACATCAGTACAAAGATAAAAACACAACTTGATTTACTGTAACTATTCAGTTATATTAAACTTACGGCAACGGCTTTTTTTCCATTCATATAAGAATTCTTTGTTTTGAATTAACCTGCAAGAGGATTTTTTTGCAATCATTATTAGAGTTCTAAAGATATTTTTACAACTGATTGTCCAAAGGGAATTGCTTGTGTTGCAATTATTAATGATTATACAAAACAAATAATACAAACGGTTATCCGAAAGGATATTGGTTGTGTAAAAATTATTGAAACTTCTATATGAGATAATTTATGATTCTAGATTGACTGCGTTAGCTGTTCCAATGAGAAACACCACAAGTCATTAATTTAAGGTGTTTCTGAAATCAAGTGTAACTCAAGCTGGAAATCTAAGGCATACTGAAAGCCCTGACTAATATAATTTTTTAGGGAAACTTGTATCTACCCTCAGATAAAACAATTCAGCGCTTAACTTTTTCCAAAAATGACTTATAGTGTTTCTGAATTAACCCATTCAAATATCAGATCAAAACACACAAAAACACCCTAAAAAAATCGTAAACGCAATGTGATATGGTTCAAACTCTCATTTAAAAAAAAACGTCTCCACAAATGTTGTTACAACTGCACTATAAATATAAAAAAATCTATAAAAAACCACAACAAAAAAATTATTTTCCCAAGAATTGAAAATAATGACCCAAAATGCAATTGTCGAAATAAAGCAAACGCCCCCTTAATGGAAAGTGCAAATCTACAAACATTATATAAAAATGCATCATCGCAGCTAAAACCCAACAAAGTTTATATTTGATTAACGGAAGGTGAATTGAAAACCAGATATAACAATCACAGATCATCATTCAATAATGTTAAATACAAAAAGTTCACCACCTTATCAAAACACGTCTGGTATTTTAAAAAACAATCTGAACAAAACCTCTATATTCACATGGTTTATTCTGAAGTCTGTATCTCATTACTAAAATATTTCCAAAAAATGCTCACTATGTCTATATGAGTGATTTGAAATCATATTGTATTCAAAACCTGGGAAACTTCTAAATAAAACCAAAATTATATCAAATAAAATTCAAATAGTGGTTGGCGTAAGGTTTTTTTCATTTGCCTTCGGTGAAGCCAATATATTGTTCATCCGGGTGTTTTTTTGAAGAAACAATGATATTGTAAATAACATTTTTTATTGCGGATTCAAAAATTTCAATCTAAAATTTGAAACAAAAAAATGCAAAAAAAATAAATAAATAAGTAAATAAGTTTAAACATAATTGGGTCCCACAAAAATTTTTGTACAGAAAAAATGTTTCAAGAAATATTGGAAAAGCGTTTTTAAAATTAATAGATAAACATTTTCCTCCTACTAACAACTACTAACAAATTGCACAAAAGTTTTTAACAGAAAAACTATTAAATTTAAAGAATAGTTGTGCATTTTGTTCAATTTAATTTTACTAACGTGCCCTAGCTCAATTTTTAAAAAAAACTAGTAGCATAAAAAAGAGTTTATTTTGAAAATTTGGCTTATGCAAACCAGTCAAGTCTCCCCCATTTGGCGGGAGTTTCCCGAATTTTGAAGAACAATTCATCTCCTATTTGCATTTACAAAAGATTTAGGAAACTTCCTTTTTTTTATTAACAGGTTATAACCGACTAAATTTCTACTTTTTTCATTTTTCAAATGGTTTTTTGGTCTGATTTGATTTGTATTTTTACTTGTCTGATTTGTGTTTTAGAAGTATTTTTACGAAGAATGAAGATGAGCCATGAAGAATGTGTCTTTTTTTTTTTTTTGGTAAAGATATATAGGTTGGTCAATATCATAAAGTCTCTCTCATACCCGTTTTTAAAACTTGACACCTATGCTTATGGTCTTTTAGTGTAATAAATGCTTGTGCTGTTGCAACTTATGCAACTCTAGCATCTAACTTGATAAGTAATGTTTTGTTTAGTATTTTAAATTAATTGCATTTTCCAGATTTTTTCGCAATTATTAGAAATAATATCGTACGCTATTTTATGATGATTACCTGGGGAAATATTGTATATGTTGCTTGTTTCATCAGCAAAAACTAAAATAATAGAATTTGATTTTATATTATTAACTATTTAAGTTTTTCCTGTAGCTTTCTGGTTTCAACATAACTAAAGTTTTTAAAGTTAATTAAAATTATTAAACATATTTTCAATGAAAAAATTTTTTCTATAATTTTATTTTTTTTTATTTACAGACATTTTTCAAAACAAATAATCACACACTCTGATTGATATTTTTCATATTTGGGTTTTGTCACTCTATGAACAAAATGTCCTTATTTTTAATGTTTCTTTTAGTAACAGCTTCATCTGGAATTGAAAAACATTCCTTACTAAATTTAGAAAAGCATGTTTCATTGGAATGAAGGCGTTTAAATATGTTTTAGTTTTTTCCCTCTTATAGTGTTCATATATTCAAAATTTAAAATGATGTGATGTCTCGCCCATATAACAGGAGTTACAGAATCAAAAGAAGTTTAAATTATAAATTTACTAAAATATCACTAAAACAACTAAAATAAATCTTGCATATTCATGATAAAAGTCTATCATGAACCTAAAAAAAAGTCTCATAAGCTGCTGAAATTGCGTTGTCTACTATTGGAAGGGTTAGAAAACCTCGTTCATTTGAATGAAACCCAGGTTTTCTAACCCAGGTTTGAACCCAAGTTTGAACCCAGGTTTGAACCCAGGTTTGAACCCAGGTTTGAACCCAGGTTTGAACCCAGGTTTGAACCCAGGTTTGCCATACAGAGGAAGAGCTAAAAATACTTTGATTTTTTTTAGTAAAGAAAATTTCAAACAATTTACTCAAGTTGTTCTAAGAAACAAAATTCCACTTCTAAAACACAAGCACAAAGTTTTACGC